ACTACACATCCGACTTAGGTGAAACCTTTTTAGGGTAAGTAGGCATGTTATGTAGATTTGCGGAATCAAGGTCATTTTGCGCGCACGTGCTTGCAAGAGCGCGCACGTGCAAATCTTAAAATGACCAATATATAATGGATATAACCGTAACTTTTCTATTTTGTGACGAAATGTTTTGAAACTTATAATGAAGGATATATTAGTAGTGTGCACAAGATGACATGGTCAAAATAGCAAGATCGCACGCGCATGCACGTGCACTTCGCTTTGATTGGCTGAAACTAAAGTCTCAATATCTTTTTTGTTTTTTGATAAAATCATTTGAAATTTTGAACATAGTCATACATTAGGGAGATCTACAGCATGTAATATAAGATTTATCATGAAAGCATGTGCATGCACATGTGCTTGCAAGAGCTCGCACGTGCAACACGAGAAATGTCCAATATAATTGATACAGACGTAACTATTTAAATTATTGATGAAATGCTTTGAAATTCATATTATAAGTATATATTAGAAGGATAGACAAAATAACATGGTCAAAAAAGTAAGATCACACGCGCATGCACGTGCACTTCGCTCTGATTGGCTGAAACTAAAGTCTCAATATCTCTCTTGTTTCTTGTCACAATCCTTTGAAATTTTGAACATAGACCTACATTATGAAGATCTACAGCGTGATATATAATAATTTTCATTAAAAGCATGCGCATGCCCGCGTGCTGCAATCTGATTGGCTGAAACTTTAAATGGCTATAGCTCCTTTGTTTTTTGACAAAATGCTTTGAAAATTAAAAGATAGTCATGCATTAGGATATACTAAAATATGATGTAGAAAAAAAATCATGAAATCACGCGCATGCACGTGTGCTGCAATCTGATTGGCTTAAACTTGAAATGGCTCCCTTGTTTTTCAACCAAACAGGATGGGATTTAGAATATAGATAGATATAAGGGACTCCTACAAGAAGGTATGGTCATCATGCACGTGCACGCACGTGCGTGCATTTGAAACGAGTGAAATGAAAAATACATTTGTAAGATTGATTTTTCATACTTTTTGGACTGAATGCTTTAATATATTGTATATTAAGATATGTAGATAGTGTAGACAAGATGATATGATCATAACGCACATGCATTCACATGCGCACGGGTGCAATGCTAAAATTTGAATATAATTGGTATAACGTCCTGCTGAGAAAACGTTGTTAAAGTCAAAAATGCACAGAGTTTGTCTTATTTAATGAAGCTTACAGGGAATATGGCACCAAAAAGGAGTTGGGGAGCGTTTGGGGAACATCTGTAACGGTTCCCGTTACAATTAGCACTAGTTATTATTATTATTATTCTTTTTTCTTCTTATTTCTTCTCCGGTACTTTTTTGTCCGCGAGTGTTCTCAGAAACTGTTCACCCAACTGAGCTAAAACCTTTTTAGGGTTAATAGGTGTGTTGTGTAGGTGTGCGGAACGAAGGTCATTTTGCGCGCATACGCCTGCACGTGCGGGCGCGTGAAATGACTGAAATGACTAATATATTTAATATAGCCATAACTTTAACATTTTCCGATGAAATGCTTTGAAACTCATTATATAAGGATATATTAATAGTGTAGATAATGTGACACTGTCAAATTAGCAAGAACTCACGCGCATTTACGTGCGCTTCGCTCTGATTGGCTGAAACAAAAATCTCAATATCTTTTCCGTTTTTTGACGAAATGGTATGAAATTTAAAATATAAGCATACTTTAAGATGTCCTACAACATGATGTATAACATTTGTCATGAAAGCATGCGCATGCACGTGCGCTGCAATCTGATTGGCTTAAACTTCAAATGGCTGTAACTCCCTTGTTTTTCAACCAACCACGATAAGATTTAGAACATAGACAGACACAATAGACTCCTATAAGAAGTTACGGTCATCATGCACATGCATGCACGCGCATGCACGTGCGCTTTGCTCTGATTAGCTGAAACAAAAATCTCAATATCTTACTTGTTTTTTGACAAAATACTTTGAATTTTAAAACATAATCATACCTTAATACGTCCTAAGCTATGATATATAAAAGTTTTCAAGAAACCACGCCCATGCACGTGTGCTGCGATCTGATTGGCTTAAACTTTAAATGCCTATAACTTTTTTGATTCTCAACAGAACAGGATGAAATTTAGAATATGAATAGATATGACGGATTCTTACATTATGCTACTATCAAACTTGAATGCAAGGACTTGCATGCACGTGTGCGCGCGCAATGCGTTAAATGACCGATTTACTTGATATAGTCGTAATTTTTTTTATGAAACGTTTCAAAATTCAAAGAATAGAAACACATTAAAAGTGTAGTCACGATGATATAGCTTTCATGCATTGCACCTTCGCGCGCGTGCAATGATCAAATGACTTGTATACTTGATATGGCCGTTACTTTTATATTTCTTTATGAAATGCTTTGATGACCTTGACCTTTGACCTTGACCTTTGACCCCTTGACCCAAAGGTCACAATCCAGCTCAAGTTCGTAGATGTATTTACAAACTCACTTTAACAAATGCTTAGAATAAAAAAGTCAACCCCCCCCCCCTTCTCCTTAAAAAAAAAAAATCAATAACAACGTAGAAAATTTCTCTGAAACTCGATCAACACCTGGGAACGACATAAATTTTCACTTAAGGTGCAGAAAAGACTTCATAGAAAGTTTCCTGAAAGTTTTACGGTAAGTCTCTAAAGCATATAGAAATTATGAATTTTTACGGCAAAAATTACAAATTCTGTCGTGTTTGAAATTTAAGTGCAGACGAACAAAGATATGATATAAACCTTTTAAAGCCTATTTCTCCAGATGTCGTTAATAGCATTCAATTCTACTGATATGAATTAATATTTTAATACCAAGCATTCTTCTTTTATTTCACCATTGAAATTTATCTGAATTTTTTTTAGAATTACACAATCCCCAGAAATAGCGAGTTTCGGTATATTAAAAAGCAATACACGTTTCTTTCCAGTAAAACCTCACGTGTTTGAATTCATGAAAAAATATTGATAAGGGGGTGTTAAACAATACCTGTCACATTAGCTGACACCAAAAAACCAGGGTACGTACACGACATTTTCTGATTTATTTGCATATGCAAACAGGGCTACCCTCAAATCCACGTGTTTTCCATGTCTTTATAAACATCACAAAAGCACCCCAGGAAGTAGCCTCCTATGCCCTGGAGAAATAGTTCCTGTCAAAAAACTTTATTTATTTATAGAATAGATAAAATTTCCTAGGCACAGGTACCAGAGTTGTCAAACTGGCCTGGAAGGAAATTAAAAAAACTCTCAAAAGAAAGGAAAATCGGCTTAATGTATGGACCTACAATTGACTAAGTTCATTTTGATTGGTCAATTACCGGTGTGGTACCCCTAGTCGCCTTGAACCCAGTCCTGTCTTTCTGAAGAAAACCAACTCCGAGCCCGATGTAAAAATCTTAGTAGAGAAATGAGAATTTGAATTTTGCTGCCTTATTATGTTTCCCAAACGAAGTTTGGGAACATATTGTTTTTACTCGGTTTCTTATTATGTTCCCCAAACGAAGTTGGGGAACATATTGTTTTTACTCTGTTTCTTATTATTATTATTTTTCTTCTCGGGAAAATTTTGTCCGCGAATGATCTTGTAAAGTACACATCCGATTAAGGGGAAACCTTTTTAGGGTAAGTAGGCATGTTATGTAGATTTGCGGAACGAAGGTCATTTTGCGCGCACGTGCTTGCAAGAGCGCGCACGTGCAACACGTGAAATGACCAATATGCTTGAAATTGCCGTAACTTTGACATTTTTCGATGTAATGCTTTGATATTTAGAATATATAGACATATTATAAATGTAGATAAGATGACATTGTCAACATGCAATTTTGTGTGCACGTGCTTGCAAGAGCGCGCACGAGCAACACGTGAAATGACCGATTTTATTGATATAGGCGTAAATTTTTACCTTTTTAATGTATCTTTTACAATGAGGAAAATAAAATTGCTCAAAACAATTTGCTTTCCTTTTGAAAAATAGCTTCATGGCTTTAGGAAATGGAGGGGGTGATATATGGAATACTGTAGAAAACTTTGCTACTCTATGCTTGTGCCCCCTCAATTCTAAAATCTTAATAATGACTTTCCAACATACCTTTTCAATTATAATTGCTTCTTGGGACATTGGGTATGCAAGTAAAAAAGTAGGTCAACCTGACATATTTTCTGAATTTTACGAGGTTTTTTTATTTTAAATTTTTTCAATCTTTAGTTTGAACTAATGTGCTCTATATTGTCACAGATCTTTAAAAGTCTATGAATCTTGGGGATGATTCAATTAATAAGTAGGTCATAGTGACCTACTTCTCGAATAACAGTTTTTCATGTTTAAGTCTTTTTAGATGATATATAAGAGACTTTAGTTTGATCATCAAACCTCCTCAGTAAGCATCTTGAGCTCTATAATTTTACATTCGTCTAGGTACTAAAATTAGGTCATAATGATTACTATTTAAATAAATTTTCAAATTTATTTTGGACATGGTGAAGCTGGTGATAATTAAACTTGTTACAGTAATTTAATTCAGTTGATATGGCCTCAATGCCCTCAAGCTTGGTTCTGAAGTATATGCATGTTTGAAGACTATTACAAAAATAGTACTTTGGCGCAGTGATTGTAGACCATTCTAAACAAAAATGAATTATTTTTATGTTTTTTTGGGGGGGGGGGGCATCCCATGAGTACATTCAGTACTTTGATTCAGTAGGCTCCTGTCCCTTAATTTTATTCTACACTGATTTTTTTTAATTGTTAGCCTAAGTATTGTGAGTTAAATTGGAAACTTCTGATCAAATCGTATGCAAATATATTTTATAGGCCTAGCTATTGATTTTCCAACTTTATCAGAAAATCAATTTTTGTTTTATTTGAAACCGTGTCTGTACTTTCTCTTTGGCGGTTGTAAAATCGAAAGTATGATGTGTAAACGTTGGAAAAAATGTCGAAGATGAATAAACGCCTTCTACGAGACAGATTAGCTAACTGGGAGTCAAGAAACAATCCACTGACGTCCTTGTCAACAAAACAAAAGGATTTATGCATACAGTTATCGTCAGTAGTGAATGAGAGACGAATTCCAACAGACGTAAGACGTGTCAAACTTTGAATTTGTTTTTACCAGTGTTTACTATTATTTCTGTCAATAAAACAGAGTATGTTCTATTTTCTGTTTAATGTTTAATAATTTTCAAATGATTTCTGAGTTTTTGCATCATGTTTAACGAATCAATCCTTATTTTTTTCTCCACAAACCTTGTAAGTAAAGTTAATTATCCCCTGTACATATCTTGCAAAATATTTTCTTCAGCGTATATTCTTAATTTAAACATTAAGTCGTTTTTATCATCAGCTGCCAGAGGAAGATGGACATTCTGCAATACCTCATCAATCAAGAGAAATAAACCAAGACCCAAGTGTAGGGGAAGAATTCCAGAAAAATGCCCCACCCGAAAAGGCCGAGACAGCACAAATGGTAAGATAACCATAAGATTAAGAAAAAAAATAAACTATATAAATAAGTAACCAAAAAGGAGGAAAACTGATATTGTAGTAAAGTTAAATTTCATTTGAGTTTCATTTATTTTATACAGTTTTTATCTTGGTACTCTGATTTGGAAAGAGACATGGAGAAAGAGGAAGAAGCACAATACAGGTGAGATAGCACAAATATACAATAACATTTGATGGTGTAAGTTGTAAAGAGTACACTATAGTATAATCAATTATAATACAATCAAGTAGAAATGAATGACACATTCTAATGCAATTGGTTTATAAAACTCATTTTGATTGGCTAAGGTGCTTTGTTTGAAGCAATAAAACGAGCATTAACGGAAGTGAAAGCTTTTCATTGTGACGTCATAATAGAGCGACGCAAAAACACAATGCTCCTTGACGTATTTCAAGTCACAAAACTCAACAAAATAAGACGTAAACAACAAACAGAATGCATGGATTGCATTAGAATGGAAATAAATATCTTCTATTTTGGTATTTGCGACTGTTGATGCTGATTTAACGGTTGCAAACATCCGTTTTACCGGCGACGCTTACACGTCGCCGGTAAAACTCAGTTTGCGAGCGTTAAATCAGCATTAACGGTCGCAAGTACCAAATTAGAAGATAGTTATACCCTAATTTATTGTCCACTTCTAAAGTGTTCCCATGATTAGGAAGAGTTCCATATAAAATTTCAAAGAAGTATTAAGTTTTTTAAATATTCCTATCTAAATATTTTACATTTTACGTGTTTAATGTTTGCATTCAATTGAATAATGTACTTCTGACATTTCAGACATTATATAGAAGAGTTACAGGGTTACCAGGACCAATGTGACGGAGTACTAGGGGAGGTAACCACAGCCCTGACCTATTTAGAAGGATTACAGAAGCAGTATGTCAGTGTATCCACCAAGACCAATGCACTTCATGAGGCTTGTGAGCATCTACTGGCTGAACAGGTGAATTTCATACTACTATTATTTGATCAAATTAAAGAATTTGATAAACACAATATTCAGTGAATTATTTCTGTTTTACATCTTGTTTTGCTCTGTACACATGCAACATGAGGCTAAATCA